ATTAAATTCTTTATCTTTTTGTAGATATTAGATTCTTTAGGCTTTGGATCTTTTAGAAGTAAGTCTATGATAAAAAAATTTAATTTATTTTTTTTATAAAAAAAGATTACTAAATTAAATTTCTTACCTTTTTGTAAATATCAGATTCTTCAAGCTTTAGATCATTTAAAGGTAAGCCCTATAAAGGAAAAACTTTAATGTTAACTGTTAATGTTAAAATATTTTTAAAAAAGATCAATAAACTCAATTTCTTACCTTTTTGTAAATACTGAATTCTTTAAGCCTTAGATTATTCAGAAGTAAGTCTTTTAATGAAAATAATTATATTAATTTTTTTTAAAAAAATCCAAATACTAATTCCTTACCTTTTTGTAGATACTGTTATTTTTAAGTCTTAGATCTTTCAGAAGTAAGTCTATGATGAAAAAAATTTAATTTTATTTTTTTATAAAAAAAGATCACTAAATTAAATTTCTTACTTTTTTGTAGATATCAGAATCTTTAAGTCTTGGATTATTTGAAAATAAATCCTGTAAAGGAAAAACTTTAATGTTAACTGTTAATGTTAAAATATTTTTTAAAAAAGATCAATAAATTCAATTCCTTACCTTTTTATAAATACCAGATTTTTCAAACCTTGGATCATTCAAAGGTAAGCCTTTAATAGAATTAATTAATGTTAGTTTATTTTTAAAAAAATCTGCAATACTAAATTTCTTACCTTTTATAGATAATGTCTCTTTTAAGCCTTAGATCATTTAGAAGTAAGCCCTTTAATAGAAATAATTATGTTAATTTTTTTTAAAAAAAAATCTAAATACTAAATTTCTTATCTTTTTATAGATACCACCTTCTTCAAGACTTGGATCTTTCAAAGATAAGTCTATGATGGAAAAAATTATTTAATATTAATTTATTTTTTATAAAAAAAAAGATCATTAAATTAAAATTCCTTACCTTTTTGTAGATACTAGATTCTTTAAGCCTTGAATCTTTCGAAGATAAGTCTATAATGGAAAAAATTTAATTTATTTTTTTATAAAAAAGATCATTAAATTAAATTTCTTACCTTTTTATAGATATCAAATTCTTCAAGCCTTAAATCATTTGGAGATAAATCCTATAAAGAAAAAACTTTAATGTTTAACTGTTAAAATATTTTGTAAAGAAGATCAATAAATTTAATTTCTTATCTTTTTGTAAATATCAGATTCTTTAAACCTTAAATTATTCAAAAATAAACTCTTTAATAGAATTAATTAATGTTAATTTATTTTTTATAAAAATGAACACTAAATTAAATTTCTTATCTTTTTGTAAATACTGGATTTTCAAACCTTAGATCTTTCAAAGGTAAGTTTATGATGAAAAAAATTTAATTTATTTTTTTATAAAAAAGGTCATTAAATTAAATTTCTTACCTTTTTATAGATATTAGATTCTTCAAGTCTTAAATCATTTGAAGGTAAGCCCTATAAAAAAAAAATTTTAATATTAACTGTTAAAATATTTTTTAAAAAAAATCAAAATAAATTTAATTTCTTACCTTTTTGTAAATACTGGATTCTTCAAATCTTAGATCATTTAGAGATAAGTTCTTTAATAGAATTAATTAATGTTAGTTTATTTTAAAAAAAATCCACAATATTAAATTTCATACCTTTTGTAGATATTGCCTCCTTTAAACTTTAAATTGTTTAGAGATAAGCCCTATAAAGGAAAAAAATTATTTAATGTTAATTTATTTTTTATAAAAAATAATCATTAAATTAAATTCTTTACCTTTTTGTAGATACTGAATTCTTTAAGCCTTAAATCATTCAGAGGTAAGCTCTTTAATAGAAATAATTATGTTAATTTTTTTAAATAAAAAAATCCAAATACTAAATTTCTTACTTTTTTGTAGATATTGCCTTCTTCAAAACTTGGATTTTTTAGAGGTAAGTCTATGATAAAAAAAATTTAATTTATTTTTTTATAAAAAAGATCACTAAATTAATTTCTTACCTTTTTATATATATTAGATCTTTCAAGCCTTAGATCATTTGAAGGTAAGCCCTATAAAGAATAAACTTTAATATATTAAATATTAATGTTAAATATTTTTTAAAAAAATATCAATAAATTCAATTTCTTATCTTTTGTAGATACTGCCTTCTTTAAGATTTAGATCATTCAGAGGTAAGCCCTTTGATGGAAATAATTAATATTAATTTTTTTAAAAAAAAAATTCACAATACTAAATTTTTTACCTTTTTATAAATACTATTTTCTTCAAAACTTGAATCTTTCAGAAATAAGCCTTATAAAGGAAATTTTTTAATATTAAATATTAATACTAAATTTTTTTTTGTTAGGTATTAAATTATCAAACTTGAATTATTCAGATGTAATTCTTTAATTGAAAAATTAATGTTAATTTATTTTTTTATAAAAAAGTTTATTAAATTAAAATTTCTTATCTTTTTGTAAATTCTGGATTCTCCTAATATTGAATCATTTGACAGTACTATAAAAAAAAACTTTAATGAAATTCACTGATAATACATATATTGAATTATTTTTTAATACAAATTTACTAATAATTGACAAATAAATTCAAAACAGATAGTAGACTATTAATTTTATTATTAAATTCATATTTTGATATTAATACTAATGCTTTTCATAATTTACATTAATCTTTAATTAGATTTTTTGAATATATTTCCAATTACTATTTTATATTAAAAAATAGAGATTTGATATATAAAGTCTGCATGCTACCTATAATAAAAGTAAAATAATAAATTATTAACATTTACTATTAATTAAAAATAGATAAAATTTAATCAAAAATCATACTTACTATATATTTTAATAAAATTTGTGTACTAACTGTAATAAAAAGTGGAATAGCGAATTATTAGAGATGTTACTATTAATAAAAATATATATAATTTACAAAAAATCGTACTTAATATATTATGTATAAAATAAGTACATTATTTTTTAGTATATATATTATTATTAAATATCTTTTCTATTAAATTACTATTTCTTTTCAAAAAAATCAAAGCTTTAAATAAATTCTTCTTCATACTTATTCTATTTACTGACATTATTAATCTAGCATTATTAAAAGTCTTTTCACTTACTCTAGACGTTACTTAAATAACTAAATATTTATGTCTTAACTGAGCTAAAATTGAAAATTGCCTCTTATTAACATCCTATCATTTTAAAGGATCTTGATTATTTTAAGTTTATACTATTACTAAATATCTTTCAATCTTATCATCTTCAATTTGAGAATTATTTATTTTATTGTCAGAAAATAAAGATCTCTTATAAACTTGTATTTTGATATTTTTCTTTTTTTTGGTTTTGAATTATGTGATTCTTGTTGAAAATCAATATTATTTTTTGCTAACTCGTATATTTCACAAAGGCTAGTTTTTGCTAATTCTTTTTGATTATTAGTTGCAAATTTCAATTTTTTTTTACACAGATCTAATAAAGCTATAATTAAAGCTTCTTTTTCAATTACTTCATAATAATGTTTAAGTGCTTTATAAAGTTCTGCTTTAATTTTATCCAAAGACTAAAGGTATTAATAGAAGTATTTATTTGAATTTTTCATTTAACTTCAGATTCATCATCTTCGTCAACTTTTTTAAATTGATATTCTTCAAATACATTATCATTTGTTTTTAAATCTACATTACTATTATAAAATTCTTTGATTAGACAAAAGAGTTTTTTGAGTTTAGTAATATTTGAATATATATAACTCATCGTTGCATATTTTGTATCTTCTAATTTTTCTATTAATTCTACAAAGGTCTTAAGATTTCAAGTAAATCTCTTATAATATCTCACTCATTACTAGTAAGATTAATTTTTTTTAACCTTTTTGCATTTTCTTTAGTATTACAATCTTTACTTACTTTTAATAAAGAAATAACAATTTTAATATAAAGTTTTAGAATTATTAATCTTTCTCATACTATAAATATGCTTGATAATGTGTTTTAACATCTATAATTACCTTATAAAAAACCATTTGTAAATCATTTTCCTTTTCTGAATTTTCTTTAGAATTTTTTTTTTGTCATCTATAAGACATTCATTTTGTTTGAGTGTAGTGAAAACTTGATTAATCTTTTTGCATGTGCAATTAAAACTTCAGTAATAAGTAACCCTTTTTCAACAACTAATTGAATTATATTTATGATATATGATAATCGTTTTAAAAAAGTAATTTGATTAAAACATTTTTTTATATTAGAAGCATTATCTGTTATATAAAGAAAAACTTTGTTTTGTAATTTCTAATCAAAAATAACTTTTTCTAATACACTTTTAATAGCATTTCCTGTATATAGATATAGCATATATTGAATAGCTAAAGTTATCTCCTTCATCTCAAAATTTGATGTAATAAAATAATATATTATACTAAAAAACCCTTACTTACTATGAGAAGTCCAAAGGTCACAGGTCAATAAAACTGAATTTGAATTCTCATAAATATATTGCTTTAGATACCTTTTTGAAAATTCATTTGCTTCAAAAATTCTTTTTCAAAATTTTTTATCAATCAGAAATTCAAAGTTTTTATTTAATGCATTAATAAATTTACAAAAAAAGGAGATTTTAAAAGATAAAATAGTTGAAAATCTAGAATAAGCTATTCAAAAAGAAGAGTTTCTAAATGTTTTTGTCAATCTTGTATCATTTGTAAAAGTGAATCTGATGAAATAGTATAATAATTAATTTTAATTTGTTTTAAAGATGATGTAGCTTTTAAAGGTATAAAATATTCATAAATTTTATATTTTGTCTAAGATGGTTAATAATATTACCAGTTAAACCTGATATCTCTATTTTTGCTATACAAATTTCATCACTATCTAATGATTAATTGTATTTAAATATAAATTTTTTTGAATATGTTAGATGAATTTTTCTTTTATCTCAATTATATATCTAACTACAAAGTTTTAAGTCTCCTTTACTTTTAACTTGAATATTTAATGAATCAGTTTTTTCTTCTGATTTTTTAAAGATGTTTGTTTCTTTTTCTGAAATATGTATATCAACATAATTAATATTATTATTATTTTCAGATAATGAACTTTTTACTGAAGTTTTTTCAGTTGACATATTTAGAAATAATATTTATAAATGAGTTCTTTATTTCTTTAATCTTATTTCTTTTTATTTTTTTTAAATGAAAAAAATGTATTATTTATATGAAAAAAAAATTAAAGTTTTCTATTTTATCAATGTAAATGCTGATCATTATATTTATTCTAGAATAATCTAAATAATCCTAAGATTTATTCATTTGTAGATTTGTAGATCTGGTTAACTATTCAAATATTATTTGGATATAATGTGAATAATAGGATAATTTGAATTTATTCTAGGATATTATCCATTTAAGAAAAGCTTTAAAGTTAGAAACTGATGACAGATTAATTAAAATGGCAAATCTATATTTGATAGCGTTAATCTAATTTGAGGAATAAATACTCTTTTTGTATAATAAATACTTATCAAGATTTCTGCATCTATCATATGCCGTTGAAATCCTTTAACAATCTGGTACTATTGTAGAATCCTTATTTTAGATTAATATTTCTTAAGTGTATAATAAGAATTCTAACTTTAAGTACTAAATGATGAGAAGGTATTCTACATAGCATTAATATATTCAAGAATTCTATAGAATAAAGATTTTGGTAAACTAACTCTTTTTCATTATCAGAATTTGCTAATAAGAATACTTAAGATTTTTCAGGAAAAATGTTGATAATTTGCTTATTAATATTATCAACATTATCATTTTTTATCATAAGAATTGCTCAATCTTTAATATAATTGATATAATTTGCATAATTATTAAAGTTATTATTAATATTATAAAAATCTCTGAAATTAATAATTCAATTTTCTCATCATTAAAGATCATATAATCTTATAATTTGATGATATCTTTACCAAGTTCAGGATATAATAGCTCCTTTTCTTCACAAATTTATAATAAATAATCTATAAATTGTTTTACTCATCATTTTATGATTATTTAATTCTCATATTAACAGTCAAATGCATAATATTAATATGTTTCCATAAATATAAATATTTAATGCAAATATTTATAATTTGTTTACATCTTCCTTAAATTACTACAGGTAAGATTTATCTAAAATCTTTATTTAAAACAACAATGATGCCTCTAAATAATTTTTCAATATTAGTTATATCTCTAAAGGTTTTATTAATACTTTAAAGGCAAATCTATGTATAATTGATACTTCATTTCAGATATAAGTTTTGTCATTCAAATTAATTTAACTAATTCAGATAAAATACTTATATCTAAAGTAGATATTTCTATTAATTTGATGAGGATCTTAAATCTTGAATGGGCTGTTATTTTATTATTTAATAATAAAGCTGCAATTCCTGATAAAGCAACTGCAATGGCTATTTCATTATTTACTCTTATTTTTGCCAAAATTATGCTGAATAAAAATATTTTTTCATAATCTCAAGGTTATCAACAAAAAATACTGTTTCATCTATTTCATTATTAAAAGCTTGAATAATTGTGTTATAAATATTTATTTGATTAATATTTAAATCATTTTTGTTATTTAAAAGAACATTAAATTTATCAGAATATAATTAAGTTCTTTTATTATAAAATCTGATTTTATAAATTCTTTATTATTTTTAAGTAAAGAATAATTAGAAGGAAAAGTATTATAATCAATCAAATATCTTTTATAAGGTAATAAATATTTTTCAATATCTATTAATATTTTTATAAGCATAATTGCATAATCTTCATCAGATAAATCTTCAGTATTTTTAAGTTGTTATTGTTCATTCAAATAATCTTCATATAAATCATTTAAATGATTTTTTAAAAGTTTATAAACATTTAACTCTCTTAGCTTACTAAATATTAAAATAAAGTAAATAATTATCTTAGTTTTGATAACATTTGATACATTGCAGCCTCATTAAGACATTTATTAAATTCATTATTTTCTTCATCTAATAATTCAAGTTGTCTCACTATTTTCTCAAATGTATCATAAACATTTCTATTTATGGTATATACAGCTTCATAAGATATAGCACCATGAATTTGAGATAATAAAATTTTCAAATAAAATCTTTCCTTGTTTCTTAAACTGCAAGTATACATTTGTAAAATTATTTTATCACTATCTCTTTTTTTTTTATTATCAGTTTCTATTTTTTCAGGTAAAGTATTTTGAAAAATCAACATAACGCAAATTATTTATGTTTAAATCATCTTGATTATTTGTGCATATTTTAAAATAATAGGTTAATTTTATATATGAGGATTGTTCTAAAACATTAAAAAGTTCTTTATTTTCTTGAAAGATAACATTTTATTGATTAGACAAATGAAATGTAAGTTGTTCAATTTTATGTGATTTTCTTATAAACTAAAATTAAATAATCTCCAGAATGTTTCAATGGTAAAAACATATCTTACATTTAAATGTTAAATGATTTCATTTTGCAAGCTTTTAATAGATTCCATTATATAATCAGATCTTTTATAAATATATTTGTAAAGATATTTCACAAAATGGATGCTTAAACATATTTTTATGTTAATATGACAGTCATATTTTTAACAAAGATAAGGATTATAAGGTATAATTCATCTATTATTAATATTAAGTTTTCTTTTTTAACTGTTTTTCTATTGTTTCTTCTTTTGTATATTAGATATTTATACTTATTTGTTATTATTTTTTAGCAAAATTTCAATAATAATTTTTGCTACATTTACCATTTATCATATAAGAAGATTTAGGATTCAAGTCTTTATAAAGTTCATGAATTATATTCTAGTAACTGTATTATATAATAATGGTTAAAGATCTTTATCTGAAATCTCTACATATACTATCTTATTAAATTTTTAGATGATTTTGGTTTATTTTCAGAGATCATTAAAATATACACATATAATAATCCTCTTTTCAAAATTCAATTACATGTATATGAACAATAACTCTCTCAAATATACCTTTTATAAAAAATCATAAGTAATTTCTTTTAATTTTAATTTAAATACCCTTATAATAATATTAGATCAATCATTTGCTTGTTGGTTTGGCAAAACTTTAGTTTTAATTTCTGATCAATTAGAATTGTAAATGACAGTGACAAATAAATCAGGTTTTATATATTCTCTAATAATTACTATAAAGTCTTGATACATTTATTGCATGTATCTGATTAATTTAGTAAATGAAGATGATAAGATTATTTTTTTTTCTAATCTTATCTTTATAACATCTTTATCAGTAATAATATCATGTAAACCTAAATATATTTACTTCTGTAATATTATTGCATTTTTTTATATTGTTATCTTACAATACTAATGACTGAAATTAGTATTAATGCAAGATTAACAAAGGGATTTAGCTTTTATTTGATATGTTTAGGGAGAGTTCTGAAGGATTTACAATAATTATTACTTCAAATGGTAATGTATATTTAGAATAAACTTTAGGATTTTATTAAAGAATAAAGAATTCGATATAATTATATTTATTAGCATATAATTGCTATTAGTATTTATCTTGTTGGTGATAAAAACTAATTGAGTTCTAATTGTATACAGTTAATTATCTCCTGTTATCTACTGCTATCTATTGCTATCTAATATTCTCTTTTTTAACCAAGTCCTAAAGCTATCCTATTTATACTAAATTTGCTAATATAAATAAATAAAATACTAATTGATTATAAATAATAAATGATTAATAATACAAAATGATTAATAATATAATAGAAATTTTCTGGTGACTTCTGGGTTTTTTGTGTAATCTTTGTTTAATTTATTCTCTCGTTTTCACCATCTTTATCATCTAATATGATGCAATCAATATACTTTTTAGTCACGTGTGTCACATGATCTTTTGGATTAATATCTTCCTATAACAATATTATTTAAATGATTTAATTTATCTTTAGCATATTAATCTACTAAATATTGCTGAAATAATCTTTTAGTAAAGTGTAATATACTTTTTATTTATTTAAATCTCTAATTTGCATTCGATAAGCTGCAAATTTTCTAATTGTTACTCATTTTCTTTTCTTTTAGTTGATTTTTTAATTCTTCATCATCTACAAGATTAATTTTCTCATTATCATTATTTATAGGTTTAATTTCCTCATTATTATTATCATTATCTACAGGTTCAATTTTCTTATTATCATTATTTACAGGTTCAATTTTCTCATTATTATTATTATCATCAAGAATAATAGGATTAACTTCATCATCTTCTTTATCAGGTGTATATACTCTTTCTTTATCCTTATCTTTAATTGAGACAGATTCTAAATCAAGATTTTCAAAAAATTGGGTTACTTCAGAATGGCTAATATTTTATATAATTTTTTTTTATTTGTATTCTATTTTTAATTTTAAATTCAAATTCAAGTATAGATTCAATTATATTTACTCTTAAAATATTATCATGTCATCCATATTCACCATAAAAAAATAGCAAAAGATATTGTAATAGATTATAGTACTATTTAATTCAGAGATATGTTTTAAATATCTTTCATGAGTTTGAATAATAAATATCTCAATATTTAGGTTAAGTATTATAGTTATAAATAAGAATTGCAACTTCTGATGCTATTAGTTTATTATATTATCTCATATTCCTACCATATGTATTATAAATAACTATTCTCCATTGTGAATTATTAGATTTACTTTTGATTTTAGTTCCTGAGATTACAAATTACTCAACAAATGGATTATTCTCTAATAATTTATCTTATAATACTTTAAGTATTTTAGCATTTAAATTTGGAAAAATTTCTTATCTTTTTTGAAGTTGATAATTCATATTTAAATCATAAAGTAAATCTAAGAAAATGTTAGTTTTTGATCATTATCTCTTGGTATTAGATCACCAATCTGATGATATAATTCGTCTTGAATTCTAAATATATAAATCCCTTTTAGCATTTATAAGTTTTTCATCAAATTTTACATCTAAAAATATGAATGCAAGAATCTAATTGTAAGCTCTGATTTGAGTACATAAGGTTCATCTAATTTTAAATTATTTTAAGTAAGTAAATTATATAAAATTTGTGGAATTGGAAGAAGAGATATCAATACAACCTGTCTATTTAAACAATAGAATCTTTTTGTCTTATTTTTTCATTTTAAAGTATAATAGTATTCACAAATGTTATTTATTCTTTTAAATATATGTCCACTGTTTTCTATTTTATCTTCTATATAATTATTTATATTACAATGTTCTATCTTTAAAATTGGACTATTAATTTTTTTTTTTATAATATATTTCTTATGATTATAAATCTTTTATTATTCTTTATTTACAATATATTTATTGTGATCATAATTCTTTTTTTGTGTTGTGATTTTATTCTATTTGATGGTCCAGCTTCTATACTTTTTTCTCTTAATTATTGATCAAGAAATCTTTTTATGGCTTGTCTCTTATTATCAAGTTTTTATTTCTTTTTTCTTTATATTTATATTTAGATTATAAATATTTATATATTTTGTTATATTTGTAAAAAAAATTTATAAATTTTAATAAAAATGTTTTAATATTTTAAAAAAAATATGTAAAAAAAATGTTAAATTATTTAAAAAAATTGAAAAAATTATTTTTTTTTAAAAAAAGAATTCAAATATGATTTATTATTATATATATATATTATCTGCATATAATTAAATGTAAATATAAATACATAATACTATTTTTATTTTCGATTGTTTTAAAATTAGTTTTTTATTATTTGTTTAATTTTTTAATAGAATTTGATTATAGATTATCAGTTATTTAGTTTATAAATTATTTATTTTTAGTTAAGTTAATTTAATATGTATAATTTTTTATTTTTATTTTTATGTAATATGATAGATCTTTTTATATATTTGTTTTTTTTTAGCTTCAGGTAATTTATATTTATTTATTAAAAAAGCATTATTTTTTTTCAGCTTCAGGTTTGGATAATTTATTCAGCTTCAAATAATTTCTTTTTTTTTACTTTAGGTAATTTTTATTTAACTTCAGGTAATTTCTTTTTTGCAGCTTCAGCTATTTTTTTTTAAAGTTTATTTTTTTTTTAATTTTTAATTTTCATTTGATTTTTTATTTTTTTTTAACTTTGTTTTTTATTTATTTATTATTTTTTAGTTTTTTTTCTTTTTTAACTATATTTTTAACTTTTTTAACTTATTTTTTATTTGGTTTTTTGGTTTTTTTTTAGTTTTTAATTTCTTTTTTTTTTAGTTTTTATTTTATTTAATTAATATATTTTTTTTTATTAGTTTCTTTGGTTCATTAGTTTTTTTGGTGATGATTTGTTAGTTCTTTTAGTGGTTCATTAATTTCTTTAATAATTCGTTAATTCTTTTGGTAATAATTTATTAATTCTTTTAATTGTTTATTTAGTTTCTTTAGTGGTAGTTTGTTAGTTCTTTTGATAATTCGTTAGTTCCTTTAGTGATAGTTTATTATTTCCTTTAGTATTTTAATTCTTTGATAGTTTATTAGTTTCTTTAATATTTTGTTTCTTTGGTATTTTATTTCTTTAGTGGTTTATTAGTTCCTTTAGTAATAGTTTATTAGTTCTTTTAGTAATTTATTAATTTCTTTAGTAGTAGTTTATTATTTCTTTAGTAGTGGTTTGTTGGTTTCTTTGGTATTTTGTTTTTTTAGTAATTAATTAGTTCTTTTAGTATTTTATTTCTTTGGAATTTTGTTGATTCCTTTGATGATAGTTCATTAGTTCCTTTAGTAATAGTTCATTAGTTCCTTTAGTAATAATTTATTAGTTCCTTAGTAATAGTTTATTAGTTCCTTTGATGATTTATTAGTTCTTTTAGTGGTAGTTTGTTATTGTCTTTAATGGTAATTCATTAGTTCCTTTGGTAGTAATTTATTATTTCCTTTAGTAGTAATTTGTTAGTTCCTTTGATAGTTTATTGATTCCTTTAGTAATTTATTAGTTTCTTTAATAATTCATTAGTTTCTTTAGTGATAGTTTATTAATTACTTTATTAGTAATTTATTGGTTTCTTTGATAGTGATTCATTAATTTATTTGATGATTTGTTAGTTTCTTTAATAGTTCATTAGTTTTTTTAGTAATAGTTCATTAGTTTTTTTGGTAATAGTTTGTTAGTTCTTTAATGATAATTCATTAGTTTCTTTAGTAATTTGTTAGTTCTTTTAGTAATAGTTCATTAGTTCCTTTAGTAGTTAGTTATTTTTTTTAGTGGTAGTTTGTTGGTTTCTTTGGTGGTAATTTATTAGTAATTTATTAGTTCTTTTAGTAGTAATTCATTGTTTCCTTTGATAGTAATTCATTGATTCCTTTGGTATTTCATTTTTTTAGTAGTTTATTGATTCCTTTGATAGTTTATTCTTTTTTTTCGTTCTCATTTATTTTTTAAAAAAAATAAAATACATTAAAAAAGTGTTTTAGTTAAAGAATTAATACAAGTAAAAAATTTGAAGGTATAGTACGAAGGGCTACTTAAAATAAAATAAAGAAAGAAAATTAAAAATAAAATAAAAAAATAAAATAAAATAAAATAAAAAAATAAAAATAAAACTAATTAAAATAAAGATTTCAGTAGATTTCATTATATCCATTTGTTTTTTAATTTTTTATATTATATCACAATTTTATTTATTATTTATTCTGCTTTTAGTAATCAGTAGTTTTACAAAGGGATCAGCGTTCCTAGTTCAATTGATAACAACTGAGCTCCTATTGTGGGTTACACTATGATAGCTATAAGTTCAGGCCTTAGCTAAGGCATAAAACTAGATGATTTTCATAAGAATTTTAAATGTAACTGAATATGTAAGTATATAGACTAATATGCGTTAGAAACTGGTTGATCGATTTATCAATCAACATTTATCATACCTAAATACTGGGTTTAAAGAACAAGTAGATGCAAATGAAGCCAAGGATCAACAGAAACTTGGCCTTCACTGATAGGTCTATAATGGATACTGTCTTACATCTTCAAATCTTAGGAGTCCTTATACAAGTAAGAAAGTGATAAACCAGTTATTAGTAGATCTGAAGTGCACTACAGACTGACTTGCACGCTGCAGCTGTGGGCTGAATCTTATTACCATTAGGATTAAAGATCAGGTTTTATTCATAAAAAAATCTGATTCCTTGATTTTGGAAGTTAACAATAGGATAAAATCCTATAAGTATTTAGTAAAAACAGTGCATCAATCACTGTGGCTGAAGTGAGTCCTCTATCTAATTTTGGTAATCAGTAAAAATCCATTTGGGGTCAGTTGATACAGAAAACTGAGGTCAAATCCAATTGACTATAAAACTATACACTAATAGCAACTTGCATAGGTAGGTATAAGTAACGAGGTTGCATGTTGTTCATTCACATAAGACCTAAGAAGAAAGGCAGGTTAGCAATTGTAATCTTCCTCAACCTTTATCTTCGAAGTGATATACCGTAAAAATAAAAAATAAAAGTAATCAGTAGTTTTACAATATATCTAAAAAGGTAGCATGACTTTATTTTATAGTGACTTACTGGTATAATACAAAGGATTGCTAAAAGTCTCTAAACACTATTTTTAG